ATATATAGACTGTGGGGGTGGGGTCTGTGCCACATATATATACACTGTGGGTGTGGGGTCTGTGCCACATATATACAGACTGTGGGGATGGTGGTCTGTGCCACCTATATACAGACTGTGGGTGTGGGGTCTGTATCACATATATATAGACTGTGGGTGTGGGGTCTGTGCCATATATATACAGACTATGGGGATGGTGGTCTGTGCCACATATATAATACTGTGTGGATGGGGGTCTGTGCAATATATACAGACTATGGGGATAAGGGTCTGTGCAACTCATATATACAGACTTTGGGGATGGGGGTCTGTGCCATATATATACAGATTATGGGGATAGGGGTCTGTGCAACACATATATACAGACTTTTGGGATGGGCGTCTGTGCCATATATATACAGACTATGGGGATGGGGGTCTGTGCAACACATATATACAGACTATGGGGATGGGGGTCTGTGCAACACATATATACAGACTTTGGGGATGGGGGTATGTGCCACATATATACAGACTATGGGGATGGGGTCTGTGCTACATATATACAGACTTTGGGGATAGGGGTTTGTGCCACCTATATACAAACTATGGGGATGGGGGTCTGTGCCATATATATATACAGAGTGTTGAGGTTGGGGTCTGTGCCACATATATACAGACCATGGGGATGGGGGTATATGGCACATATATACAGACTATGGGGATGGGGGGATGGGGGTATGTGGCACATATATACATACTGTGGGGATGGGGGTCTGTGCCACCTATATACAGACTATGGGGATGGGGGTCTGTGCCACATATATACATACTGTGGGGATGGGGGTCTGTGCCACAACCCTGTGGTTCTGAACAAACCCTACTGTATTGTTCATTTCATTGATTTGTTGCAATATCAAATGTAGAAAAATAAAAACAAAGCAGATTCCAAATAAGTGAGTGACATTGTATTTTCATTATACACATACATACAAATAACCACTGAAAATCAGATAAATTAAAGGTTAAAATGTGTGACCATCTTAGTTTTCTGCCTTTCACAAGCAGATATCACACAGCCAACCTCCCAAACTACAGTATCACACATAACCAAATACGAGAATTCTCAAATTAGGCTTCAAATTCATGATGTTAGTATTTGTTTTTCTGTTATGTGAATAGGTATACAGTTGTATCTTCTGTATGTGATTCTTACAACCAAAATAGGAAAAAATGGACTTGTCCAGATGACGAGAATTAAAAAAAACCCCAAGAGGCCCATTGGCCTTAACGGTCACCTGAGTCCTACAGTATTTATTTTTGTTGTTGAAATATGTACCAATTTGAGTAAAAAATAGTTAAGTATAATGTTAACTTAACTTTGTCAGGACCATGAGCTGATCATTCCTAGACCGATTTTCAGTGAGATCGGCCTATTAGAACTTGGTTTTAAGTTTGAAATAGGTATTTACAAAATAGCGGCCATGGCAGTCAAATTGTATGTCTGATTGACCCGAAAAATAACAACACTTTGTCAGGACCATGAGGAGATCATTCCTACCAACTTTTAGTTCAATCGGCCCAGCAGAACTTGACTTTAAGTTTGAAATAGTTTTTCAAAATGGCGGCCGTGGTGGCCATATTGGATTTCTGAACGACCCAAAAAATAACAACACTTTGTCAGGACCATGAGTAGATCATTCCTACCAACTTTCAGTTCAATCTGCCCAGCAGAACTTGACTTTAAGTTTGAAATAGTTTTTCAAAATGGCGGCCGTGGTGGCCATATTGGATTTCTGAACGACCCAAAAAATAACAACACTTTGTCAGGACCATGAGGAGATCATTCCTACCAACTTTTAGTTCAATCGGCCCAGCAGAACTTGACTTTAAGTTTGAAATAGTTTTTCAAAATGGCGGCCATGGCGGCCATATTGGGTTTCTGATCGACCCGAAAAATAACAACACTTTGTCAGGACCATGAGGCGATCATTCCTACCAACTTTCAGTTCAATCGGCCCAGCACAACTTGACTTTAAGTTTGAAATGTAAAATGTTAATGGACGACGGACGACGACGGACGAAAACGGATAGCAATAGGTCACTTGAGCTAAAGCTCATGTGACCTAAAAATTATGAAGTAAAAAGTAAATTTAATGAAATTTCCAATGTACTGTTACAGTGTCGATACATATATACAATGGAACATAATCGGATACAAATATGAAAAGAGAATAAATATGTATGGCTCAGAGTTTAACAACCAGAGGCTGCAAAAAGTTCTTGGATAAACACAACTTCTATGAATCTGGTTGCGAAAAAGACAGGAAATATGTTATTGAAATGAAGAAAAATCTGTTATTCAAATGTCTGCTTTGTAGATATGTGTACCTACAACCCATTTCTAACACAGCGAAACACATCTGTACTGATACACTGAAATCTATAACACATCCACGGAACTATGACAGAATAATTTGTCTTTTTTTTTTTTTTTGTGTCTGCTAAATATGCAGAAGAGTACAAACATAACATTACATGTGTGATGGTTCAGAGAGGGCCCAGTAATTGTGGAGGAATGCCCCACCAATTGTTGGTGATGATGGGCGTGGGATGGGGAGGCTGAAATGTCGGGACACCAGATGCCACAAGACTGTTGGTGGGCTGCAGCTACCCATACAAACATCAGGGCAGGTCATAGCCATCCCACACAGCTCAGCATGTCAACAGCTTACATAATGGCTGGCTAAATGTTCTACAAGCTCGGGTAATGTTTGGTATGTGGTAAGGAAAACAAACTGGCTGATAGGACATGGCGGAATAGGTGTTTATCTCCAGGCTTAAATACACAGCACACACATTGGTGGGTTCATGTCACACACAAAAACATACTTCACCCAGTTTTAATTTTCAAAATAACATGACTCTTACCAAAATGAGCTGTAAATTTTAAATGGCTGTTTAAAATGACACAACAAAATGTTAATAAAAAGTGAGGAAAAAAAGTGTGGCTCATATTGAAAATGAATTGTCCCTAGGCTGTCCTTTCCACAAGCTGTTGAAAAACGTCCCTCAAAAGTACAAATCCTGTATATGCCTCTTGCATGTCACAGATTAGAATGTTTGTTTTTCCTGAATTTAATATCTGATTATATGTCCAACACACATGTAGCTGTTCATTATAAACTTCATGAATTTTTTTAATGTTTAAATTTCTGGAAACCGTTTTCTTGTCAGGTTAGGGGTTTATTATGGCAGCCAGCTGTTGATAAAGAAGGCTGATGGTTTTAGATCAGCAGGAATTACTTCTTACCAGGGTCTTCTTTCAATGTCACAGTGCGGTTAAACACCATCTGAAAAGACAAAATAAATCAGACAATATATCTTATAACACAAAACATATCACAGGACGATATAATTAGGAAGTAAAATATTTAAGCTCAACTAAAATGTTCAAGTCCAAAATGGCTGTATTAAAATATATTTTAAATATAGGATCTTAAAGGAGTTTTCATTTCATATGAGATTTTATGAAACAAGTCTTAGGAGTTTTTATTTTTATGAGCCTTGGCGAGCAAAAACTGAAACTTCGAGACGAGACAGTTCACTGTATAAACCAATCTTATGTACAGTTCCCTGGATTAACTAATATTGTGTACAGTTCCCTGGATTAACTTAAACATTGCATACACTTCCCTGGATTAACTAACATTGTGTACAGTTCCCTGGATTAACTAACATTGTGTACAGTTCACTGGATTAACTAACCTTGTGTAAAGTTCACTGGATTAGCTAACATTGTGTACATGCAGTTCCCTGGATTAACTAACATTGCATACAGTTCACTGGATTAGACCTTGTGTAAAGTTCACTGGATTAGCTAACATTGTGTACATGCAGTTCCCTGGATTAACTAACATTGCATACAGTTCACTGGATTAGACCTTGTGTAAAGTTCACTGGATTAACTAACATTGCATACAGTTCCCTGTATTAACCAATCTTATGTACAGTTCCCTGGATTAACTAACATTGTGTACAGTTCACTGGATTAACTAACATTATGTACAGTTCACTGGATTAACTAACATTGTGTACAGTTCACTGGATTAACTAACATTGTGTACAATTCCCTGGATTAACTCACATTGTGTACTGTTCCCTGGATTAACTACATTGTATACAGTTCCCTGTACTAACCAATCTTATGTACAGTTCCCTGGATTAATTAACCTTGTGTAAAGTTCACTGGATTAATTCACATTGTGTACAGTTCCCTGGATTAATAACATTATGTACAGTTCACTGGATTAACTAACATTGTGTACAGTTCACTGGATTAACTAACATTGTGTACAGTTTCCTGGATTAACTAACATTGCATACAGTTCCCTGGATTAACTAACATTGTGTACAGTTCACTGGATTAACTAACATTGTGTACATGCAGTTCCCTGGATTAGCTAACATTGTGTACATGCAGTTCCCTTGATTAACTAACATTGCATACAGTTCACTGGATTAACTAACCTTGTGTACAGTTCACTGGATTAACTAACATTGTGTACAGTTCACTGTTTAACCAATCGTGTAAACAGTTTACTGGATTAACCAATCTTGTGTACAGTTCACTGAATTAACTAACATTGTGTACAGTTTCCTGGATTAACTAACATTGAGTACAGTTCACTGGATTGACTAACCTTGCATGTGTACACTTCACCAGATTAATTAACATTGTGTACAGTTCACTGGATTAACTAACCTTGCATGTGTAAAGTTCCCTGGATTAACTAACATTGCATGTGTACAGTTCACTAGATTAATTAACATTGTGTACAGTTCACTGGATTAACTAACCTTGTGTACAGTTCACCGGATTAACCAATCTTTTGTACAGTTCACTGGATTAACCAATCTTTCGTACAGTTCACTGTTTTAACCAATCTTTTGTACAGTTCACTGGATTAACCAATTTTGGGCACATTTCACTGGATTAACCAATCCTGTATACAATTCACTAGATTAACAATGAATCTGGAGTACAGTTTACTGCATTAACCAATCTTGTGTACAGTTCACTGTTTAACCAATCGTGTAAACAGTTTACTGGATTAACCAATCTTGTGTACAGTTCACTGTTTAACCAATCGTGTAAACAGTTTACTGGATTAACCAATCTTGTGTACAGTTCACTGTTTAACCAATCGTGTAAACAGTTTACTGGATTAACCAATCTTGTGTACAGTTCACTGTTTAACCAATCGTGTAAACAGTTTACTGGATTAACCAATCTTGTGTACAGTTCACTGTTTAACCAATCGTGTAAACAGTTTACTGGATTAACCAATCTTGTGTACAGTTCACTGTTTAACCAATCGTGTAAACAGTTTACTGGATTAACTAATCTTGAGTACAGTTCACTGTTTAACCAATCAGGTAAACAGTTAACTGGATTAACATATCTTGTAAACAGTTCACTAGATTAACCATGAATCTTAATTTTGGGTAAATTTCACTGGATTAACCAATCCTGTATACAGTTTACTAGATTAAAACCATGAATCTGGAGTAAAGTTTACTGCATTAACCAATCTTGTGTTCAGTTTACTGGATTAACCAATCTTGTGTATAGTTCACTGTTTAACCAATCGTGTACACAGTTCACTGGCCTAAGTGATATCATGTACAGTTAGGCTAATTAACCAATCTTGTTTACAGTTAATTAACCAATCTTGTATACAGTTAATTAACCAATTAATTAACCAATCTTGTTTACAGTTAATTAACCAATCTTGTATTCAGTTCAACTGATCACCCGATGTTGTGTACCATTCACTAACTGACCATGTGAAGTAGCCAGTTAGTTTGTATATTTATTTGAGGTGTATGTAGTGGTTAAGGCAGAGTAATCTTTAATGTGTTCACAAAGCTGATCAATCTCTTAACCTTTAAATTGCAATGCTTTAGTCAACAAAATACGTTGAAATAAATCGACCTGTCAAGACACAAGCACCTGTGCTCCTGTTTAAAGGAGCTTGTCAACCTTGGAAGCAATTAAACACAGGTTTGACTTCAAAACAATCAGTGTGTAATTAAAGAATAACTGAAAAAAAATCCAGTTTCATTAATCATGACTTGAAAGCTACTCTGTCATCAACACAAATATTTTATCTAATTAAAATTGACTGGTTAGCGAGTTCACTTGCGATAAATTTCAATATGACTTCAGACTCTCATTGCAAGGTGACAACAGTCACTGAGTGAGTAATGGTAATGCCATAATTCTGTGGCTAGTTTGTACTTTGTTATCTCCCTCTGTGGAACTCTTCAGTGTGTATTATTGTTTTAGAACTCTTCATTTGTCATATACATATAACATATCTACCCACCATTAACACAATAATTTATCGGTTACACTGTACTATGAGAATTTTTTACATAATTATTATACTACATTGTGTTTTGAAAATATTGTCAAAACAAATGCAATATATATCCTGTAAAAACTTAAACCCTTGTAAGACTTATTATTTCTGATGCTCTCTACTATTTGTAATGCCCATATTTATAAAGAACGTCTGTATATTCCTGAATACTTTCACAATGTAATTAAAATCTGACACAACAACCTCCCATGGGCTTCGCTCATCAAGTTATGAAATGTATTCAACAGAAATATCTGTGAAGGTGACATCAACATAATGTGAATCACCCATCATCTTCAAGGTTATATCTATCAATCCCGCCATCAACTCAATCATTTTCCCATTAATAAATAACAGAGTGTGTAAAGGTGCTGCAACAGATTAGGAGGAATTGATGTATAAGAATAATACTTTTTCTTTAAAAATAAACTGTGGCGCTTGTCATAATGTCAATGGCGACAGTTTGCCAGAGAGATATAACTACCAAAACCAGTGACTGACTAATCCTTGCACGCATCTCAAGTCGCAAACGGTACACAGAGGTCACGTCATCAGTTCTAATACTGGCATTCACGACCTTGATAAAATGTAATGTAATGCTGGTAAACTCGCATGAAAGGACTCCACTTGGTATTTATGTAATACACAGGTTTAAACATCAGTACCAGTTTGACTCGGAGGACAAAAATTTGCGAGACCTTCTGACATTCATGACCTAAGTGGACAATACTTGGACCTTGTGGCCCAGGTAATCAACATAAATTGACAAGAATTAGGATCTGAAAGTGACAGTCACAACTTTGGCAAGACAACGCTGTTATTACTTTGACCTTGGGATTTTTCAATTCACAGTTAATGTCAGTTGCGTTAGGGAAATGGGTTTGTATTCGGGGATAACCAACCCAAAAGGACGTCAACTGCCATGACAAAGACCACCAGGTAAAATCATATAACTGTGATGTCAGACGAGAGCCGTTAAGTTTTGACACTCAGGGGTTTTACCGATAGACCAAGCATGCACTTAATTCAGGATATTTTCACAACAGTTTTCTTCAAGAGTAGTGTAATTAAATATTGACACATTTGAACATTTTAATTCATTAACAGCAACATACCAGACTCGTAACTACAAATTTAACATTGTACAGTGGAAAATTAATACTTTGCTATTGCTATTGTAAAAACATCTTGCTGTATACAGCATATTGACATAGATGTTACATGTATGTGGAAAAGTGTTGTTAAGATATGGTCTTTGGAATTATAGAGAAATATACCTACTAATAGTCATATTAAGTAGGCATATCTGCATGTGTATCAAAATAAGTAAAAAAAAAAATGCAAGGGACCTATGATTTGTTACAATTTGGTCTCATATTCCTATGTTGAATCAAATTAACAACTTGTTTGGGGCCCAATGTGTATTGAAATATCGTGTTCTTTAGAAGGAGAATTTCAGAGAAACACAGGAAACGATATATATAATCTTTTTAGATGTGATATTTGGGAAATAGATACATTTTCCAGAATTTTAACATGTTAAGTATGATCATTAACCAGGTCTTGCACAAAAAATGGATTTGTCACAGAGAAAATGACTTTGAGTGACAGCCGTGCCACACATGTAATGAGCAGACTATGTATTTAGATTGATGAGGACATGATCATGAACATGTGGAGAACTATATGCAGGTCCATAAAACGCGTTGTGTAGCTAACACACATGGCGACAATGAATTTCAATTACGTACCAAGCAAGGAGCAAGAGGATTTCAACTTTTAACTAACGCTCCTTTGTGTGCCCGTGTAAAAGCCTTCAGCTAATTTCTCACTGGATGATCATGAGGGACATTTTGCTTTCTTGGTAAGTGCTGTGCATTAGAGTACAGCCACCCTGGTCTGTAGGGGGCGCCACCCTACAGCCA